ATCCATCTGTTTGTCTGAAAACTTTTTACATTTTTAACTTCACTAGAACCACTGGGCCAATTTTACCCAATTCATATAGAAATATGTTCATTTGTATGTCAGACTGTCCATCTGTCTCAATAAATTTAACCTTGGTCATCACGGTCATATCTACTGAATGAGAAGGGACAAGGCATTCATATTAAACTTATGTACTAGTACATGTATTTACCTGTGAGAATGGCATGGTTTTTTTTACATGTGACTTAGAAGTTTGACCTACTAGCAAAAAAATTAAATTGTTATAAATTCATCATTTTGAAAGAGAAAAGTTAGGGCATTCATATTATAGTGCATGTATATCATTACCTGTGATAAGACCTTTCCAAATAAATCATGACTTTTAACTCTGTGACCATGACCTTGAAGCCTAACCTACTTTTCAAAAATGTTGCATTTGCTTATAACTTTTGATTGAGAAGAAATATGACTCTCACATTTGACATGTACATTAATTACTCATAAGAATTCAAGATGATTCCCAGCATGCGATGCTTTTTTACCCCTTGACGTTGATGTTTTATCTAATTTTCAAAATATTTAAATCTGAGTAATATTAAGGATGACTTCAGGTAATACAGAGCTTTTTGCATAAAAAAACGTAATTTTTCCACCTCATTTCACCCCCGGGGCAAAATCAAAATTCCAAAACTTACTGCACATCTACATATCACCACCAACCATCTCCCAAAAGAAGATTAGGCTACTGTGTAAAATGTAGGAGGAGTTCAGGGAAGACGGGGCTTTTTGCATTAAAAAACCGTCATATTTCGACCCCCATTTGACCCCCCGGGGCAAAATCAGAATTCCAAAAAACCTATTGCACATCTACATGACACCACCAACCATCTCCCAAAAGATGATTAGGCTACTGTGTAAAATGTAGGAGGAGTTCAGGGAAGAAAAGTGTGTCAGACGGACGGACGGACGGACATGAGTAACAACAATATACCCGAACTTTCTTTAGAAAGTGCGGGTATAATAAGTAGGCAGGCAATCGCCATGAATATCCCCTTCTTTGATATCTACAGGTAATCTAACCACCGTTTATACAGGTCGTTATCCGTGGGCCATTTATTGCAAAATTACTTGCAACTATGCCACTGAATTTAAGAGCTGTACTTGGGGATAAGTCAGTTATCGTAACTTCCTTTGTCTGCATGAGACATAAACACTTATACACTAGTGTACAGTAAGAAATTGCTAGGGGTACAGTGTATCACTTAGTTGCTTTGACATTTCATAAGAATTTCAAGGGAATTGAGAGTCTTGAACACAGAAGCGCTAAACGAATAGACATAAGCTGAATAGAATCCAAATTTCACATCTATCCTTATTATCAAACTCAAAATCAGTTTCTTTTGAAAAACTGCCATTCCTTGATGAATGCAAATAAGTATTTGATGATTGTTAAAGAAAAAAAAATACCAGTAGATCTAGGCAACAAAGTATCATATTTCATAGTAAGATCAGATGTTTTGGCCACTAGATCTGAATACTTCGTCGACATATCGGAATACTTGGTAGTTAAATCTGAGTACTTCGTCGACATTTCGGAATACTTGGTAGTTAAATCTGAATAATTCGTCGACATATCGGAATACTTGGTAGTTAAATCGGAATACTTTGTTGACGTATGGGAACAATTTGATGATAAATCAGAGTACTTTGTAGATAAATCAGAGTACTTTACTAATATGTCCTGATACTTTCTCTCCAGGTCATGGATCTGAGACAGGATCACGTCTGGGTCATTCAGTAAAATCCTCTTCTCAGCGAGTCCGATTAGAAATTGTATAAGGAGGAATAAAGAGCAAAGGTTTTTCATGTCTTCGATCGGGCTATATAACGCAGATCAGCCGAAATGAAAGAAATGTGCACAAATGACAGATAAGACAACGAAAAGTGTATTTCCCGATTATGTACTGTTACTTGTGAATTCGTAGGTTACTAAGCACTGATAAAAACTTTTGATAATATGTTAACATAAGAACAGTAAAATATGTATTTATATAACTACAGTATAGCGATGACAATTGTTATTCCTTTAAGATCTGTTCCAATACAAATCTTTACCAAAAGAATCTAACATTTATAATATTTTACTGAGCGGGTTTAAAAGAAATCGATATTTGACCGCTCATTGAGATGTTAGACCTGATATGATTTTGAACCTCTTACTTCACAAAATGGGCAAAGCTAAATCTGAGGTTTACATCTCGGAAAACAGTACAGGATACATGTGTATTCAATGTATATACATGTATATTCAAACAATATTAAAATGAAAGATATACGTAACATAACATTTATTGACTGGGTTTTCATGCAAAAAGGGTTGTCAACCATCGAACCAAATTATCTGGATTCGGCCTTATGGCCTCAGACAAACAGTTTGGTTCTTGGGTCCGACAAAACGCGTGTTGCCCTCGAACTCAGTCAATAAATGTATTATGCAATTAGAAGAAATTTGAGAATTTATTTCATTTGACTTAAAGTGAACTTTTCCTCAAACTGTTCTTTTTTTCAGTAGGAGTATTGTCTGAAATTAGATTGCAAAATTTGAACCAGGATCGTTTTGTCAATGCATATCAAATGAAAAAGAAACAGAAGATGCAACACAGTCTTTCACATGTTTCTATCTAAGAGATTTTAATGGAGAAGGACGTTAGTTGTAACTTAACAATTAAACTTTATAAAGCAAATGTAATTACTGAAAACAATTATTATTCGCATGCAAGAAAGATCTACGAGTTCCGCGACCTTTTTTATTCACGAATATTATTCGCTGAGAAACAACCATTTAGCTAAGTGTACGTATGTTGATAAAATGTTTCCTCAGTAGTGAAAATCAATCGTCGTAGATTGATTTCTAACTGACAAATCGCGAATACAAGATGAAGCGAATAATAGTTAGTTTATATTGTTTCAGCTTTTTCAATCGTCGCTTTGGACGCTATTGTCTTCATATCGTTTCCTTAAGGCCCTTTCACAATTGGCGCACGAGCAGAAGCGACAAAATATTCGTGCGACCTAATAATTTTGGTTAGGATCGTAAACTGTTGCCAAAATAATCGCATATGAAAAAAGTGTTCGTGCGAAATTTGTACGATCTAAAGCGACTGTTGTGCATTAAATCTTGCGATATATCTTGCGTCTATATGCGACTGTTGTAGAATGAAAGCGAGTGTTGTAAGATAATGCGATAGGATTGCACGACTGATCAGGTAATCGGACGATTTAACGTGCGACAAAACGATTGGACGTGCGGTGCTCGTGCGCTCATGCATTCCATAGTACGAATGTTCGTGCGAGTCAGAGGGCCGAGTATATATACAACCCGTTTCCGACGCTATTCAGTAGACATAGTTAAGATGCTTATAATTATACACGGTATATATACCTGTTGCAAAGCATGGCAATTTAAGGTGATAAATCAAGCAATGATAGTAGAACGTTGCAAGTTTACATGAGACATGTTGAGCAACAGTCTCATGGTCGCAGAACACACCCAAAGACAGCTGCGATTCATCGTACGATCTTAAAAAATCGTGCATCACTCTTACGACAACATAAAACGTTGTAAGATGTTTTCCTGCGTTGAATTGCGATAATTTTGATCACATTTGGTCGCGTGTGAATAGTGTGCATGTTGACTATTTTGAGGAGACTTGATGCGACCACTAAAACACATGCAATGAATGCGAGACATCTTGCAACGTTTGCAATAGCTCGTGCGAAGCTAAAATTTTCCGATCGCCAAGTGTTGTAAAGTGGTCGTGCGCCAATTGTGAAAGGACCTTTACGCTCCGTATACGAACAATATTTAAAACAAACCAAAATGCTGACATACAAGTTGATGAAAAACTCATGTAAACTTCCTGAAGTTGGCTTGTGACCTATGTTTTTCATACGAATATTTAAGCCATTGTTTATATACACCGATTGTCTACGGATTAAAATATACTTGCCCGATCATGACAAGGTACCAACGACAGGTTCAACCGGTCAACAGAGGATTCTTACTGCTCCATGACACCTGACACTATATGCTGCCACCTCTGATGTTTTCAAAGGCCTGTGGTTGTTCCGCTCGTTTTTGTACTGGAGGTTTGAGCTAGATTACTGTTTGTTACTCCTTTATTTTTGGCGAATATCCCATTATATTTATTTTAACTTAAACAAAAAATACACGAATATTATTTGAGAAAAAACAGAACATTCAAATATATCACAAAAAATCCATAAAAATAATTGAAAAATTTCTTTTCTACAACTATTAACTTTTACATTTGTGGTTGCAGAACTATTGAAGATATTGCTTTTCGATTCCGTGACACAGTTTGCCTATGAATAAAGCATTGTCAATAAATTTCCTAATTGTAAACTTTTATGACATTCAAATGTCGGAAATGTATTTGATACGGTGTTCATAATATTTAGAATTTAAAACAAAACCCAAAAAGTTAATACAATGCAATATTCATCAATATTTTATAACTCGACACCTTCATGTTGACTGCAAGTCTTTTGATAGATGTATCTCCATGCAAAGGAGCATCAACATCAAGTTCATTTGCTACGCTGTTTATCTACCGTGGAAGTATTGTTGAAATTGCAGAGGACATGGTATCTAATTCTGCTTCAGTTTCTAGACGTTCTCTTAGGCCTCTTGCAACTGTAGATGTTTCTTTGATTTCATGTTTTCTTTACAAAAACCGGGAATGAAAAAAGAAAGACTGCAAGCAACGATGTACACAATTGAAGGCATGGATTTTTACTTCATCTGAAATCTTGGTTGCATTAAGAAACTAGATTTCAATAGAAATATTACCAGCTTACCTGGCACGTCTAGTCTAGCTACTTAGCCCCCTTAGAATAAATGTAATTAGAAAGCTTCAGTTTTCATAAATTTATTTCATATTACATGTAAACTATACATAATTGACATTTCTGTTCCTTGTGTTTATTTTGTGCACACGACACATGTTAGGTACATATTATTGTGGTACGGAGGGCAGGCCAATGCCCCACATACCGCTTTAACCGGATGAATCAATTTTCCGTTGTCATTACGTTGTCCTGCCGTAAGAACATCAGGGTGTTCATCCAAACAGATGTATTGTGAGGCAGCTTTACTTCCATAGTATCCCGCTGCCAGGTATCCACGATACTGCTCGGTCCACCCAGAGTAGCAGCTATTCTTTCCTGGAATCATCAATACGCTGGATTGCGTCTTCCTTCTACAAACCACACAAGGCAAGTCGTCCCCATTCTGATGATCAAAGTCAGTGGAGTCGTATTCTGCGCCATACATGAATGCATTGGAGGTTGTAAATTTTGTAGTCAGGTTAGGATCGCGTGGTAGACAAACAAACTCAGCTGCAGCGCCAATATGGTCGTACCAAGATCCACCACCAAATCCTGAGCAATGTACATATATATGACTGTATTATTTAACATACTTTGATATCAGTTTAATCTATACACTGTATGTACTTTCAGAATTGAAAGAAAAAAATTATTTATTTCACAGAAAGAGAACCTTAAGGTCAGAATTTTTTCTAAAACAATGAAAATGACAACTTACGTCATGTCTTAATGAATAAAATAGACAAAATTCACTGCTTGGTTCTTTTTTATATTTCATTCAAAGTTTCACAAAAATGGGATTTTAAAATGATAAAAATATTTGTGAAGATTGATAAGGATAGTTGCAGAAAAGTAGAATTGTAAACAACATCGAAAGTTTACCATCTCTTAGTATTTGAGAAACTTGTTTTTGCATCATTTGCGACAAAAATAGGCCCAGAAATATCTGTCAATCCAGGCATCCTTTTTTTGTTTGTACCACCTGTTCCTAATCATGGATATGGTGATAAAATGATAAAAGTTCTCTCAACTTACCCGAATAAACCAGTTCTGTTTCGTTATCCGAAGGACAGTCCTTACGTCCCCATCGAACAAACACTCCACTGGCTGTAATTATTGTAAACTATTTAATGAAAAGTTTTGTATATAATTATTTTTTCTAAAGGTAATCAAATATCTTTGAAAAAAGAAAGATTCTATCAAAAGCGATTGCCAAAAAGTCACAGAGCCATTAAAAATATTCAGAATATACAAACTTTGGAGTTTATTCAATGAGGCCCATCCAAGGCCCAAATCTAGTGAATGAAAGGTGTCTACAGATTTTACAAAACATAGAAACAAAATCTTCTGATGATCTTTTACAAATGTGAGTTGCATCGTTATGACTTAATTTATTGAAAATAAATAGTGTAAATAGCCAATCTAATCTAAAAGAAAATTTGGGATTATTTTTCAATCTCGGAAGTTGGAAACGGTTTTTCTTATCTTCTTGATTCTTCTTAAATAGTATTAACATGATGATAGGAAGCGGGGTTAGTTACATGAGGTTTAATTCCAAGAATTTTTTTCTACATAATCTTATTGCTGTCGTAATATATAGTAAAAAAATTAAATCATTAATGACTTCATAATGAAGACTAAAAGGACGGTCTAATCTCGTTTACTAAAGATCTTTAACTTAAATCTAAATACATTTAATTAATGTAATGCTTTCATTGTTTGTAAGTATAATTAATGGCGCAGCTATTGCAGAGGAAAAGACAACCAGCGTAAAAGTAAGAATCTCTTTAAAATTTCCCTTTTTTGTTTGTAAAGGGCACAACTTCTTGCAGCCTGATGACTTTCAGACTAGATTGTGTCTGTTTCCAGTCGTAATTTTAAAAAAAAAAATACGTCTGTATATGCTGTATTTCTATCTGTTGTTATCCTAACAAAATTGTTTTACTCTTTTGCTATATTTACATTTACAATTATTAACTAAATTAAAAACTATGATTTACTATGACGCGTTGCTCTAGCACTTTTTTTGAAGATTTAGAACTTTAATGTTTCGTAATGCACATCTATACAAATGATAAAATATGGAACATAAAATGTAAATATTCCAAATTTACTTTGATTTATTTTAGTAAAAGCATTGATTTATGTCGGTTAAAAGCTTTACAAAGCTTAACTTTATTATGATACTTGTTTTAAAAATCCGATTTTAAATATTTTTTTTCTAATTATGTCGCCCCGAACGAAGTCGGGCGACATATTGCGATTGTACGCATGTTTTTGTTCTCCAGGCTGTTTCTCGTTGATGGCTGGGAGAATCTTCCTGAAAATTTCCTCAAAGGACGATCACTGGTTGTAGATGTGTTGTGTTGTCATTCAGTTTCAAAATATCTACCGTTGCTATGGAAACCTGCAAAAAGGGACGAATTTTGTCCGCGAGTGTTCTCTCTGGTTCCTTGGTCATTCGTCATTAAATTTTATTGATGTAATGATTAGTATCTGTAATTGTGCTCATTGCATTTTAAAATTGCAAATTGTCAATAGTTGCCTTGGAAACAGGGGAAAAGTGAAAATTCTTTGACTTTGATTTTTAAATCAAAGTACTGAAAGGACTGATAAGAGTTGATGGTTGTCCAAGCTTTGCTAATGGGTATTGTTTAAGTGATGAAAAAATGAAAGTCCTGTCCAGTTCAGGGCGACATAAGCTATTGCTTGCAATAGCAAATTTTCTAGTTCTGATTCTGATACTTAATTTAAAAATTAATAATATTATGATCAGACAAATTTTTAGGATCAATTTTAATACATTTATCAGAATCTTATGATAATTTTCAGAAAACTATAAATAAGTTAAGGATGGAAACTTTAAATACATGCTCCTGTCTAGGTGTTCCTGAACATCAAGCGTATTTTTAAGAGGAAGTCTTTTTTCAAATTATTTAAGTATCATCGAATCCAATTATTATCGATAATATGGGCAGATTAAAAACATTTCATGATAAAAAAGAGAAGAATATCAAACACTATGGAGTTAAAATCGTTTGATAAAAAATCCAGAAAGGCATAGAACCATGAATGCTATGCAGCTCAAAAGAAAACACATGCCACCAGTTCCAAAACTGATATTTTCAGGCTTAGCGAAATGTAAATCTGGAGGAAAAATTACAAAATACCTCCATGATTAGCAGTTTGATAGCGTTAGGTATCTTAATGCAAAGGCCTGGCCTATGCTTATGCACATGTTGAAGAGGGTAAGTTTAAAAATGATGTGTTTTTCAACCAAAGCCATTACTATCAATTCCGGAAAAAAGATCCGAAAACTTCTGTTGTTTTTTCCCTTCTAAGGGTAGAGGCATCTCTAAGCAGTTTATCCCAATTTCCGATGCAATAAAAGTTTTTATAGAGCGCAATGTACTTTGAAGATAACCTTTAAATCATAATTGCTTGTCCTTTATAAAACAAAAACTAGATTTTTCAAATGAGTTCTAGAAGCTTAAAATTATAACGTATATCTGAAAATGTACATTACCCTGAGATTTTGGAGACGTAACATTAAATTTCACATCGTATTCATCTATCCTTGTCACAACTTCTGAGTACTTTTTCGACATGCTTGAATACTCCTTACATATATTGGAATATTTCATGGATATATCGCAATACTTTGTTGTCATTTCCGAATACTTTGTTGACACTTCCGAATACTTTGATGACATATCGGAATATTTGGATAACAAATCTTCATATTTTCTGTTTAGGTCCTGAATCTGAGACAATAGCTCTTCTGAATCATTCCCTAAATTCCTCTTTTCAGTTAGTCCAAGTACAACATGTATAAAGATAAAACACATGTAAAACGGTGCCGTCATAATTGAAATCATAAACTGAAATTACCATTATTTGAAACCCGGATATATATAAAAATGTTATTTAAAAATCGATCAATTTTGGTGTCAGCTTGAGTCTGGATTGCTTGCAATCATAAAATAACCATACTACTATAAATATTTTCTAAAACACACATTACTGACATATAGGATTCATATTCGCGCTTTTTGAATACAGATCTAATTATTAAGTTTAATTATAGATGTAAAAAAAATTGAAACAGGTTTTCATCTTTCCTTTTTTGTCTCTGAATATCCATTAGCTTAAGACACCTTTTATCGCCAACAATATTTGCATATAAAGAAGAAAACATATCATTCAACGTCAAGGCACAATCATTATATATAAAAAAAACATTGCTAATTTTATCATTCTAAAGGAGATTTGTTTATGAAACACTGAATCCCCAATACGGCAGCATATTGTAAGGGTTGAAATTTCTCAATGAAAGTTAAACTCCAAGGCCATGGTTAGAAGGTTGAAATTGTTTGTACATGTATCCAATAAAATGTCTTTTACAAGGCATTTGAATGTGAAATATGATATTCATAATATCAAAAGTTATTTCAAGATTCAAAAGTTATGGTCAAGGTTAAAATTTTGTTTAAGTGGGACAAACTCTAAGGTCAAGGCCTAAAGGCCCAAATTGTTGATATTCTAAGGAAGGACTTGTAACAAGAAATACACCTGTGAGATATAAAGCTCTTATGCTATATGGCTCAGAAGTTATGGTCGGGTTTTATGTCTTTTATGGTGGACAAAACTCAAATATCAAGGTCAAATATTTATATACCAAATAAAAGATCTTTTTCCATTGAATACACATGTGAAGTATGAAAGCCTTTGATCCAATTATTCAACATTTCATGCAATAATTAATGTTTCGGAAAGTTTGGGTTAAAGTGGATCAAAATCCAAATTCAAGATCACGAGGTCAAATTCGATGGTACCAACAAAATGTATTGTCACAAGGAATATATCTGTGAAAAATGAAAGCCATAGCCCAAACCACTTAACAGTTATGGACAAGGTGATCGTTTTTTTACGGACAAACAGATAAACAGACAAAGAGACAGACGGACAGGCCAAAAACTTTATACCCCGAATCTTTGATTACTAGGGACATAAAACAGTATAGACCTAGCACTAGATATAAGAGTTAGAAATATTTTGTCACGGTAAATGTATTGATTGCTCGTAGAATATGGATTACCATTGTGGTCAAATTTCAAATTTCGTGACAAGATAAGTTGTTTTTGTTTTGTTTTGCATCTTTGAAATTTGCAGATATTTATTAAGCATGGCTTTTGTTTCAGAAGACAGTATCACCTATTGGTTCAAATACCAAATCCCTAAAGATATGCTAAAGGGACAGTATTTTTATTTTAACCTTTGCAAATGTTTCGGTGTCAAAATTCATGACGAATCAACACCATTATGCATGTAGCTTACAATATCAAATTGAAAGTAAGTTGTTTCATTAATGAACTAAATGTATAAATGTAGTACATGTAACTACACTGAACGTTTCGTGTATGATTTTCTTTGCAGGAAATATCCAATAAAAATAGCAATAACATTATACCAAGAGGACCATGGAGCGGTGAGACCTGAGTATAACTTTTAAAACAATTATAAAAGAATTAGAATCTTCATTTATCAAGAATGCTCCCACAAAGATATCCGCTTTTCTGGCTCAGTGGCCTTTAGAAGATTTTTCCAATATATATTTCAGTGTAAAACTTGGATTCCCTTTTGTTACCCCGCCCTACTCCCGGGGGTGGGGGTAATATTTTGAAAAATCTAAAATTTGCATTATCCCAAGATACCTCCACATAAGTTCAGTTTTCCTGGCCCAGTAGTTCTTGAGGAAAATATTTAATTTTTTTACGTATAGATATTTCAATAGAATTTACACTACCTGAATGTGCCTCCATATAAGGCTCACCTTTTCTGGCTCAGTGGTTCTTGCGTAGATGATTCTTGAATGAACAAATATTTTTTGCCTTTTTTAAAAAAAAAATTCTCCTCTTATGAACTTGGCCCTTTATTTTAACAATTTAAACTCCCTTTCACCCAAAAGTGCTTTGTATCAAGTTTTGGTAAAAATTGGCGTTATGATTCTTGTCGATGAGAATTTGAAAATGTGAAAAGTTTACAGACGGACGGTCAAACGGACGGACAGATAAACGGACGGACGACAGTTAATTGGTGATAAGAAGAGACAATACACTGTAAAAAAATAACTAGTTAATGTCACGAAGAAAACTAGTAGATTCACTGTCCATACAATCACTACCTTAATAGTAGTTTTACCAGATATTGGTATATTTACTAGATAAGATTAGTAAATTTAGAGTTGATGTGTAACTTTCACTAGGTATCTAAGTATCTTTACGACCCCCGCTCCACAACTCATTATCTTAACCAGTAAACTGAAAGTTTACTAATCACGACCAACGCTTTACGAAACACACTAGTTAAATTCACTAGGTTTTTCTTTCAGTGTACGAGTTTGACATGCACCCATTTAAAAGTATACGACCAAACAACGATTGTTTTGTTTTTTTAATTGAGATACTGATTGTGTTTTATACTAGATGTAGAGAGTACTTCAATTTATTTTAAAGTCTTTTTTCTTTTTAACAATTTGCTGGTTAGTTTTTCTAATTATTTTGAATTCCTCAGAGAAATAGAAATGAAATTCAATTACAAATGGGACTCATTCCAAACTTCCAATGAAATCTGTATCGGATTCGATCTGTTTCTGAAGGCTAAAGTATCCAATTAATAGAATAAAATCAGACAGGCCATAAAATGCACGACCTGAAGGTATTATACAAAACCAATCAATGGGTTCAAAGTTGTATATTGGAGAGCTGGAACAAAGATTTCGAACGAAATTCCACCATACAGCTTATTTTTTCACATGGCACCTGGATCCCACGTCCGTTTTGAAGGTTCCATTTTTTTTTGGTATTAATTAAAACGGACTTTAAAGTGTACATGTAACTCTTGTTCCAATATATCCATTAAGATGTTCATACAAATTTGAGATATTCTTCGAAAACTTTAAAGTCCAATGAATCATTATAACCATTCACATTTACACGCCAAATTTATAGTTTCTGAAAAAAAGTGTGTAAAACTAAGACAGGTATTGTATTTCAGACCCTTCTCTTTGAATTTAAATGAGATTCGTGGATTTCTCTTCAAAGGAGCTTTAACCGTAACAGAAGCTCAGTCGGTAGAGCACTCGCTCCGTGTTAGAAACATCAGTAGTTCGAATCTCGGTCTCGTCTGAAAAAAGTCGAGAAAAAATAGGTAGTATCTGTTCTTTTGCCAGGCACTCGGCACTTTTAAGTAAAGTTGCAGGTCCTTCTAAGGAGACCTTCCGTAAAATCGAGGTTTCGCTTCAAGATAAAGATCCCTTCTTCTCAAACTCATTAAGTGCTGAGTAGAGGTCAAAACTTGAAGCCCTTCATCGGAAAATATGTCTTAATATGAGAAAAATATTCTCGAATTTGACGTTAAACAACAAGGAATGAATCATTCAATCAAAGAGGCTTAATGTCATTGAAAAAAAATTAAACATTTGTAGTTTTATGGTGATTTTTATGACTTTATTAGAAAATGTTACCTGTCACAGGGCTGCATTTTGGCTACCTTTTTCATGCCAATTCCTAGACTTTTGTTGATGTACAGATTTGGGCTAACCTGATCCTTAATCTGGAGTTTTTTGATCTGTGTTAATGCCCTATTTACAGAATTATATTTACATTCAGTGTAATTTTCCTTATGAAATCTATTAGAAATCCACGACATCTATTAGAAATCCACGACGTTCAAATTTCTATAACATACGCGAAACCTTGTCACCGCGCATTAGAATACACAGTAGGAACTACATGCATTTTCAATACTCTACGTAAAAATTAACGTAATGTGCATTAAGAATTAATTTGTCACTTTTTTTCCTCGCAATGTTTGATTGCGTTATATAACTTTGAAACGTCATTTAACGTCATTTGACGTCACAAACGGCTCTTACATCTATTAACCTGGGCAGTTTTGAAGGGCACTAAATTCACATTTAAGATTAACGAAATAAGAAATTATGAAAAAGGAAAATTCGAGAATGTAAATATAAGCATTGAATTAATATTTTTGGATGTCTTCGGTCCTATAACACACCTGGCCGTGCCGATAAATTATCATACCGCGCTAACGCGCAGTATTCAATTTAATGATAATAGTTTTATGGAGATCGATCGCTGTTCGGCATCTCCACCTTTTTCATATTGAATAATTGTTTACAAATGTAATTGGAATTGTTCTTGTTAACCATTTTTACTGGCAGATATGGAACAATCTTTGCAAATCTACTCAGATAGACATAAAATATAAGACTGCTTTTAAAAAAGACAGTACTATTTTTCAGACGGAAAAGGGTTAAAGATGACAATGTTGAATCTGTAAAGGACAATTCCATAGAGTGCCAATAACTAACTGCCATTATTACTTCAGAGCAATAGCACAACGTTTCTTCATTTATCTGACAGAATATCAAACGTTTTTGGACAGGATTTGTCAGATATGCTACTCACTCTGAGTACGTAGGTAATGGTATTCTCTTTGTCATGGAAAATAAATTCATAACAAACGCCTTGTTCCTCGATTGATTTCAAAATAAAACAGGAACTTTTACCAGTATCCTGGGATAGGGATTAAGCATCATTTCTATGCATAATTAAGATAAACAGTACATGTGTCAGATGAAATAGGAAAAAACTGAAATCATGCACGAAGTTTTCTGAAACAAAACAACTAAGGAACAAACGCAACATGGAGAATGTCAACCAGTCACGCCGGTCGTGTGCTCC